ACACACTTAGTAAGTAACCGAGGCAATATTCAAACCCAGATATGACTGGCCCTGAAACCTAATAGAGCCCCAGCCCCATCACTGAGCAAGAAATCCTTTGTGGCAAAAATAAATAAATAGAAATTTAAAAAATCACTATTACTGCTTCAGGAAGCTAGAAAGAGAAAATTGAGAACCTATTTGCTACAGAACAAGTTTTAAAATGTGAAAGAAAAAGAATGAAGAGATCAGGAGAGCCACAGCAACCCAGTAACGAACCTGTGAGGCAGAGAGCCTCCTGCTCCGAATGACAGGAGAGCTGGGGGCTCCAGTCGGACAGCTCTCTAAAGGCAGTTTCACAAGATCAAAATCTGTTCCTCTGGTACCAGCTTAACTAAGATCATATTATTTTAGTATATTTACACATTCCGGTACAATGCCTGCAGGTTTTAAACTGGGATGTCACAGAAATGTTTGAAATCACACATCAACAAATTTCTGTATTCATCTTGTTTCATGTGACTTTTTCCTAGACAGAGAGACACTGAAGAGAGAGACTGGCTGAGGAAGAAAGAAGATACTTCTAAATGCCAGCATTCCAGCTGAGAAGGGGGAAAAACTAGAGGAAGGCAGCAAACCCGCAGCTATCCGATTCAGAGGCACCCGAGCCCTGCGGAGCACTCTCCTCAGGCGTATGAGTGGCACACAGATGTCATTCACCTCCGCTGCTGCACTCCTGTCCTGAGGACCGGCTCCTGAGCCATACCCCAGGGAAACACTGGGAAGCTGAGACACAAAATACATCTGTTCCACTACAAAGGCCATTTAAATAAAGAGTTTTCTACATTTCAGAGAATCAAAAGAGAAGCTCCGGCCACAGAGCTATATTTGCTGTCTCTCTTGTTCTATCTGTCCAAACCTAAGCTCAACAGAAATGGACAATATTCAGCTCTGTTAATGGTCACAATGACAACATCTGTGCCTTATCGTCTGCAGGTCAGAACTTACTGATTGGAGTTGCAGCCATCAGCTGATGGGCCGGCGAGGAAGGAGCACCCAGACACAAAGGAACCCATTGGAACATGTATTACTGTAAGTCTCTAATTATCCTTTCTAATTTTGGAGCCATGTGACTGGACTTCACACAGCGCCGCTGACCCACCAGCCTGAGTGCTCTGTAGCTGGACCACAGAGGGAGGGGATGCTACTCTTTGCTCCTTCATTAAAATATTGGGTTACATTCACAGGGCGAGCTATTTCCTGACGGACATGCAGTTCCCTGGTGTTCAGAGCACTCAGAGCACCTGAGAGAACTTAGCTCTTCCTGTCTAGATTTACTGCACGATCTTAAAAGACTTTTTCCCCTTATAAAGAGTGATCTATTTGGCATCACAAATGTATAGAGTCCTTTAAAAGACTAACAGTGGGCACTCATGCTCTTTAAACATGTCCTTTCTAACCTGATACGAAAGTACTGCAGATATGAAATGTTTCCTTCTTTGACTTAAGTGGAGAGTAACAGGGAAGAATGACCCCCTCCCCCATCTAGCCAGCAAAGCCTGGCTCACCCCGAGGATGGAAGGTGTTCCTGGCAGGGGGAACTAGATTTGCTCATGAGCTACAACATCCTCCTTACCTCTCCCGACCACTCTCCCTTTCTTTAAAGCAGCAGCAATGGGGAACAGTGTCGTCCTGAGTTCAAGAGAAATCAGTCAAATACCGCCACAGAAATAATCGTCAACGACTAACTAACTAAAGGCACATACTGAAGCAGAGAGGGGTTAAAAAGAATACATAGACAGTGCCAAACAAATGTTTTGGTTTTGAAACCAGACATATATTTGGAGCCTGACTGCCTGGGTACAAATCCTGGATGTGTCACTTACTATCTATGTGACTTTGAGCAAGTTACTCAACTGCTCCGTGCCTCAGTTTCCTTATCTGGAAAATGAGGACATTAATAGTTCCTTTCTCCCAGCTTATTATGAGAATTAAGCACCATGTATTTACTAAATAATAAAACCTATGGGATGCCTAAGATATAAAACTGTGTTTAGAGACTAGTGGCTGTCAACTCACATTAAAATCAATACTTAAACAGGGACGGGCTTAATTTTCTTGGACCATGTCTAGCTAGAATCACAGGCATCAGCAGGGAAATGGGTATCATTGTCTTTTCGCCTTCCTCAGCGTTCACTTCATCCAATACAGTCAGGGTCCCACCCCCTGGCCCTGCCCAGTCCACTGCCGAGAAAACAGGAGGGGCTGGTGAATAGATCTGGAATGCTAGACATGTGTACTTATTTTATAATTTTTCTTGTATAAATATCACATTTATTAATACAGTTGAAAACTCATTGTTTTCCTTGAATCCTACCACTTTGGCTCTGAGTCTTGGCTGAGGGAAGTCAATCGTGTTGACTATTGTGCAGTCAGCATTCTAGTCTGCATTTCCTTAGTAGGCGCAATACCTCTGTGTCTCCTCCTTACCTCTGCAGAAGAATGCTTTAATGCAGAAGAAAAATTTAAAAGCCTGCTCATTGATTACTTTAAAATTTTTGCAGACACATTTATTAACGATTTGGTAAATTTTGTCTCCAACTGAAAACATACCACCACAACCAACAAGCAGCTCTACAATCACCAACTCAGACTTCCAACTCTATAGACATATGGCACTGAGAGAAATTAGATCAAAAGAAAGAATAAAGATATGAGACCAGGCAGCCTAGAATAGCAAATGTACCTGGTCTAGGAGTCAGGCAATTTGAATTCTGGTCCAGGATCTATCACCAGGTAAATCCATCCCACCAAACCGGGACTCAGATTCTTTCCTGTAAAACAAGACTGTCTAAGGCCCCACTTCAAGCTGGGAAATGTCATAATTCTTCAACCTACAATTCCCCTGGTCATGCACCAAGGGACCAAGGCACCAAGAGGCAGAGGGGGTAAAAAATAAAATGCAAGTTATACCAGTTTCTTCACAAGTTTTTAGGATCCCTGAGACTGCTCTATTTTCTTTTTTAACCCTGAATAGACACATATACACGTGGAAAAGTGCCCAGAGCTGGGTGAGAAGTTCAGCTGGCTCGTCTCTGAGATGCTTCTTATCCAGTATTAGAGTTCAGTCTTATCACTGGGCAAGATCTCGTGGTTCAACAATGCGGGTGACGCAGCTGAAACCCTAGCTCGAGAAGGCTGAAGTATATGGCTGTCTCCACCTGAAATGCTAAAATCCTATAACCCACCCCAGTGCTCCCTCTTAACTGTCTAACCCTGCCCTCCTGGCACTCAAGCGGGCCCTACTGAAGACGACTTCCTACTCTCAGAGAGCAGACCGCACATCAGATAAGCCTTTCACCCAATTCCTTCCTGTTCTGACTCCGTAATGTTTATTTCCTTTTTATTTACTTACCCTTCCTGTGGCTTTGGCAGCAAAGCCTCCTGGCCCAAACCACTCAGCTCCCCAACCTATTTTGGGTCTGTAATATAACCAACTCCCACTCGCCCCAGAAAGTTGGATTGGAATTTCAAGGAAAATTTCTGCATTGCCTGGTGCCATCGCAATTTACAGTGGCACCCTCCACTCAGGGGTGCCCTCTCTCAGAGCCACCCCCTCTCAGGGACCCTGCCTCAGAGACACCCTACCGCTCAGGAACACTCCCCTCTCTGGGATGCCCTGATCTCAGGAACACCCTCTTCTCAGGGACACCCCCTCTCAGGGACACAGGAAGTCTAAACGTGGGCTTATCAGCATCCAGTTCTGAGTCACTCCTTTGATCAATCTTCTGCTGGGTACTTTAATCTACGTTAGCTCTTTAAAACTCAGTCACACAGCGCACTGAGGGATCATTCACCCTATTTTGCACATATATAAAGCAGATTTCAGAGAGAAGAAGTGGCTTGCCCAAGTAATTCAGACCAAGGTCTCCTGCTTTTGCAACCTGTATTCTTATTGTATTATGTCACTGTGACCGAAAAAGATAACCAGCATCCATGGTCCATTTCACATGGAAATGCACAGCTACGATGCTATAACGTCCCCATCTTGAATGTGCTCATCCAATGAACTATAACCCTATAAACACGCTGGCTACAGAAAATGCTTAATAGAGGATAAACTGCCCATAAAAAGAGGTGCCTTGGAAAATTGTACTATGAATAATGACTTTTAAAAAGAGCACTGATATTTTTTCATACAGCTTTAAAACAGTTTCTCCCCATTTAATCTCCCGCCACCTCCAGCAACATACCCTAACACACTAAACTGTATCAAAACTAAATTCGTAAAATCTTGAAGAAGTTTAACATGCTCTGCCCACTGATGGAGATGTTAAAGGACAGGTAGACGGCTGGAGATTGATGAGCAAGAGGAAATGAAGCGCTAGATAATCCACAAGCAGGGATCACTAAAGAGCAGGTAAGACACACATAACCTATATATGTCACTTTATCTCCCAGGGAGACAAACCCTAACATAGAAAATAAATATATGTAGTCTTGACCGTCCCAGGAACAGGAAGACTGCCCGACAACAGGACCTTCCCGAGCAAAGGCCTGCAGAAGACTTGGATGACCATCTAATCCACATCCTCCATTTACGATTAAGGATCTCCTGCCTAATCAAACCACCCGCTCCAAGCCCTCAACCAATGTCAGTGTCAGAACGAAAGCCGAGACCTCAGTGTCGTTTCACAGCACCCTGCCCCACCACCAAATCTGCATCATCGGAGCTCATAGCGACTCGTCACTCACAGATCTGTGTTCAGATGTGTGACCAATGTATATACCGTCATCCAAGAAATACCACCAAACAGAGTGGCCACAGCTTGCCAATTCGGTAAACCACTAAAGTGTATTCTACCTTTCCCCAAAACCCAAATTACATTTTACTCACATCATTCACTTATACCCACAGCACCTGAACACATGCTTTTTAAATATATTCCACACTCATATTTCCCAAAGAGAAAATGCTACAAAACCCACCAGCACGAAATTAGCAAGAAAGGGATGAGTACCTTCCCCAGAAGGCAATCTCCGGGGCGCCTTCCGTGTAGATGGAGTCGCCAGAGCCACTGAGCCCATTGGTGATCCCGCTAGAACAGCCCATCACTATCCCGCCATCCGCCGAGACGCTCAGAATGTCCTGCTGTGCCCCCGCTGGCGTCCTCTCCAGGAACTGGCCGCCTTCTTTAATGCGCTGCTGTATCATGGGAGTGAGGGGCATCTCAAAGCTGAAATAGCTATCAGGCTCTGAGTACAGCGTCTCCAAGGACTCAGCACTGTAGTATAAAGAAGTGTTGTCCAAAATGGTTTCAAACTGGGAGCTGAACACATCAGTGGAGTCCTCTGTGTACCCGGGCCCAAGGATGTCATCCTCTCCTCCCATGAAGTGCTCCTCTTGTTCAAGAACCCTGGAAAGGAAACGAGAGTGAAGAATTTCAATACTAGGTTAACTTTTTCTTTTTCCCCTTCAACCATTAAAACAAAACAAAACATTATGTAGAACTAACACTTGTATTCACTAGGCTTATGTCTCAATATATTGGGGAAGGAAGATACCCTAAAGACATAGTCAGGTTGAAGAACTCTTAGCATACATGTGCTACGCTACCCTCAAAATAATTTAACACAGGTTCAAACTAGTGTCCTAGTGTGACTACATCTAGTCCAATGGATATGTGAATAAAATGCTCCCATTTTAGCCAACTAAACTCCACACATTCAAATTATTAACAGCTACTGTCATGCTTAATTTTAACAGAAGCAGATAAATATGTTGTGTAAACTTAATGGAGTAAAAATACACTGAGCTTTCATCAGTCTATTAATACTTTCTGATTTAAGACCAAATGCCCTCAAGCGGACGACTAGATTAGAATCCAAGGGCCGCCCCCTGCTGACAATAAGGCAGCACTGCAGAGAGATTCCAGGTCCAAAATCAGACAGTGAATGACCTTAAAAAAAAAAAGCCAACAGGCATTTTTACCGCAGGCTAACCAAAACAGTGAAAACCTAGAAACAATTTATAAGTTAATATACAGGGGTGGGGCATTAATTAATATGTAGCATGTTCTTCAAATAGTAAAAATGAACATTAGGATAACAGGAAAATTTTAAAAACTTAGATAAGTACAAGAGGTCTAGAGTTAGAAAAACTTGGCACTGAATCCTGGATGTGTGAGTACTAGCTATGCCACTTAGGCAGCTTTACTTAACCTCTCTGAGCCTCAGATTCCTATAAATAGAAATAAAATAGAACTAGGAATAAAAATCCCTCGTAAGTAACCTACATTCCTCCTAGGTATTGCCAGGATTCACCTTCAACAATACAGTTGTCTTGGTTGTATTTAAATGACTGAAGGCCTACCATGTGCCAAATACGACTCTGGGTTTATGCCTCTTAATGGCCACTATCTGTACTTGGAATAAAATGAAAAGTTCCTATGATAAAGTTCCTCCCCACACACTAATTCCCACCTCTTTCCGCAGCTCCTTATGCTCCAGCCACACTGTCAAATCTTCAAACTTGTCATAAGGCCTTTGCTTCACACAACTGTAGGCAACCCAGCAGCCCTCCTCTGCACGTGTTGTTCCCTCGACCTGGAAGAGTCTTCCTCCAGTTAGTTCTCTGCCTGGCTAACTCACAGTGAAGCCTCAAGTCTCGGCCTAATTATCATTTCCAAAGAAGGGCCTTCACCTTCCCTAATGAATTCACCTCTCCTGCATTCAAATGATTCTTTCTAGTGTGTCTCTCGGTCTCTCTCCTTTTCCTTTATGGAACCTAGCGTAATTTGTGATCCTATAATTATTACTGTGTTTATGTGGTCAATGTTTATCTTCAGCAGTAAACTACATGAGGGCAGTGGCCATGGGCTGTGTCTATTTTAAACATTCCTTTATGCCCAGCATCTAACAGTGTCAAGGACATGGAAGCCAATCCAAAAATATTTGTGGAAGAAAAGGGAGAGAAGGAGGGAAGGAGAGAGGCAGGAAAGGAGAAGTGAATTAATAATCTATACAACAGCAAAAGTGCGTATCCACGGGAATGTAACTGGTGAGCCATGTGCCACATAGCAAGGTTGCTTTTGAGGAAGTCTGGAGATTTGTGTGTTGTGGGGAGGGGGCAGTGGAGAGGAGGAGCCCTGATAGCCATCCTAAAGGAGCCTCACTGTCCGTGGACTTGTAATTAATTATAGAGGAAAAGGAATTTCCTTATACCAACCAACCAAACAAAAAAAACTCTTTGGCCTTGACACTGATGTCCTCCCATAAAAACAATGCAATGTGGTGTCACGAAGATTGAGGGCAGAAAAGATGGTACAAATCTGAAATGACGCTTCAGATGACTGCTGAAAGGAGGCTGCATGGTCAGACTGGTCAGACTACGAGCACAGGGAGTGGAGAGCGGGCACGTCTTCCACCGACCCAGGCTCTAAGCTGGTGTGGATGTGATGTCAGAAATGAATGGGAAGACCAGGAAATACCATATGACGCCAAGTTCACTTATCAGGGACATAATCAAAACATACTCTTCCCTCGAGAGGGGATTCTCATGTGAATGCCATAGAACAACTGAATTACACAGTCTTCTTCCGACCTCCTGACCTCTTCGCTAAACCTAAAAAACTGAGTGAGCCCCTAACCTGTATGTAGGCACTGGTGTTGCACCCAGAAAAAATGCTTTAGTTAGGATGTACTGACTACAGGGTATGTCTGATGAGTCCAAATTTTTCATATCATTAAAGATAATTCTGGGGTGCTATAGTTACCTTGATGTTGGAAAACTTGAAACCTGTCAAATATAACAAAATGTGAGAAATGGGTTCACAGAGTTTAGTGTTCACAGTGTCTCCATCACTCTGCTTTTCTGGTCTATGCCTAATGGACTACTTTTTAATAAGATCACCTGAATATCTTAGAAACTTAGGTGGAATCTAGCTCACGGCAGCTTCTCTTCTGTTGTTTGATAAAAAGGACCAGGGTATTGTGAGTTGTTCTCATAGCCAAGCAAGGATAATGGTTGTTTCCTGAGCTATGGACCAGGCATCACAGACAGCAGGACTGTGGGAGCTCACCTCTCCTTGTCTCTCTCCAGTTCAGGTTCCTTCTCAAGACGGTCTCCGTATTCCCTTAGGAAGACTTCATGGTCTCCACTCTCAACAAGAGGCGCGGGGGAAAATGTCTCTGAAGGACCTCTCCAGGTTTCACCCCTAACCCTCTCAGTGAAACCCACCGAGTTACACAAACCAGCAGACGAGATGAGGTGGCCTGGCACTGTGGAAAGCCCTTGGCTTTCGAGAGAGGTAGTCCTTTCCAAGGATGTCTCAAAATCCACAGGCTGCCGCGTCTCTCTTTTCTCCCCTCCTGTCCACAGTATTTCCACCCCTTCGAATTCCACGTGTTTGACCCGGCCAGGCCGTCCCGTGGCGCTGCCTCGGTCACATCCCCCTGGGTGCTGCCTCGCCCCCTCCCTTAGAAAACCATCACTGCCCGCAGAGCCGTGGGCCGCTGCTGGGCTCCCCAGGGAGGATCCTGGACAAGCTGGCTCCTGCACACAGAGAGCTCCTTTCCTCCCATTAGTAGTTATCTGGGAAAGCTCTGCCTGAGCTTCTCCACTTAATAGCACAGTCAGATCACTCTGGATGCTCAAATGAGAATTTTCCTCCGCTGTGACTTCAGCTGAAAGAGGTATATCTGGTGGTTTTTCTTGGCCCGCAGGGAACGGTTTGCTGGCTGGCTGTGTCTGATGACTGGCAGTGCCCGGCTCTTCTTCCACCCGCTGACCCGAAAGACTAGAAACAGCATCTCTGTCCAGTACCTTTGTAGCCTGTAACGTTCCTGAAGCTATTCTGGCTTCTGTAGCTTTCAGAGCTGAAATCAAAGAGTCTATGGGTTGTAAACTTTGTTCCTTGAGGTGACTTTGAGAGGAGGCCTCTCCAACATCTTTTGGTCCTTCTGTAACACTGTCGAGCCCAGAGTGGTGGCCGGCAAGAAGCGGGACCCCCTGCTGCCTCTGTGGGCAGCATGGCACAGATGCTGCATCAAATTCGAGGGAAGTTCTTAGGCCATCGGCACTCTCCTCCATGGTCCCATATTCTGGAAATTCATTTGTGACATTCGGGGGCAGTAAAGTGCTTCCTCCATGATCACCTATGAAGAGAACAGAATGGACACATGACTTGTTTTGAACAATGGGCTCTGATATGTGTTAATAAACATCCACACATATTAGGCTCCCAATATCTTTATTTGATTCTTTCACCGTACCCTTCCCTTCAGCATTTCTCATAACCTTGCCAGTGATCGCTTCCACTTTGCCTACATGGGTGTAACCACACAGGTTTTGGCAGAGAAGGAGACAATCTAAGGACACAGGCCATATTTAACCCTGCTTCTGATAAAGTCCCACACATGCAATTCAGTTGCTACATATGCAAAAAGAGATTAAAATAAGGATACGTATCGCTTTCCAAATACCACTCGTGAAACAGCAACTAAAATATTTATATTGGGCACAACAACAATAGCCTTATGATCCAGCCAACAATATCTGTGCAGCACAATCCCTGAGAAGGAGCCTCAGAAAAAAGATGTGAGCTATTTAAAGTCAGTAAATATTTTTTCAGCAGGAAGTCTCCCCGCTTCACTGTTTGATTTGGGGGGAGGGGAAGGGAATGCTTTCAGGACATCTCTGAGAAATAAAAGTGAAGTCAAAATGGAATAGGAAAATTAACATGTTGAGAAAAATTTCCAGGATCCCAAATGCAAAATATTTAAATGGTATCTTATGTAGGCAGAATCCCAATATATGAAGCAATGAAAACAACAATTAGTACATATTTAATATATTAGATCAAATTTACATTTTCTTATTCAAATGGCAGTCAGTGAGAACAAGGAAGACAGTCTCATAAACAAAAATATAAATGGAGGGGGATTATGGATAACAGTTACAGTCATAGCAGCCCCAGTATCCAATTTCCTTCAGAACTTGGTTTGGTTACTTTGTATCAAGAAAATCCTCATCTGCACTAGATGTGCAGTGTATCTGCTTTGACAACTTTATGAAAGAGGACATCTATTGCTGCTGTATTTAAAGCACTGTGACTACACCCTTCCTATTGAGTGAAGTACTGGGCAAATGTCTGATAATACATTGAAACAACATGCAAGACTTGATTCCAAGGCCTGCACAGAGTGCGGTAACTTGGAAACACGAATTAACATGTTATCCAGCAGCTACTCAAATTATGCAAAATTTGATGAATAGTAATACATCTGAGAATGCGTACTGTTGCATATTCCATGTTAAAAATAATTTGAAATATATTTTAAAAACTAAATTTGAGTCAAGTGTTGATGGAATCCAAGAAATACTTCTCTGTGATGGCAGGATTTAAACTACCTTTGTAAGACAGAACTAAGAAGATACAGCTGCCGAAATCTAAAGAGGAAGCGACTTTTCAAACCCTGATTTTGAAAAGGAAGACAGTGAAAACAATGGCCTCTCTTCCTAGGCTGGCATATTGACATATTTAATTTTTCAGTAAAGAACACTGCAGGACTTCCAATTTGTTTTTCTTTTAAATTCAGCGGTTCTTAATATATTCATAAAACTGTGCAGCCATCACCACTATCTAATTCCAGAATATTTTCATCACCACCCCCCACCCCCAAAAAACACAGATCCATTAGCTGTCACTCCCCAATGCCATGTCCTCTCAGTCCCTGGTAAGTACCAATCTCCTGTCCATATCCGGAACATTTCATGTCAATGGAGTCATACAATGTGGCATTTCGTGTCTGTCTTTTTTCACGAACACAATGTTCTCAAGATTTATCAAGTTTCATGCATCAGAACTTCATTATTGCCAAATGACATTCTATTGTATGGATATGCCAGCTTCTTTAGCTATCCATCAGCTGATGAATATTTGTGTTGTTCCCCTTCTTTGGCTATTCTGAAAAATGAACAGCTGTATACAAGTTTTTACATCTACATTTATTTTCAACACTCTTGGGTATATACCTACGAGTGAAATTTCTGGGTTATGTCTAATGTTTTGAGGTACGGCAAGTTTCCCAAAGAAATGACACCATTTTCCACTCTTACCAGCAACATCTAAGGGGTCCATTACTGTCCATCTTTTTTATAATAACCATCCTGGTGGGTGTGAAGTGGTATGTGCGTCACTGTGGTTTTCATTTGCATCTCTTCCTGAGTAACTAAATTCATTCTCCCAAGTATTTTATTCTTTTTGATACTATGACAAGTAGAGTTGCTTTTTAATTTCATTTTCAGATTATTCACTGCTAGCATATAGAAATATAACTGGTTACTGCGTATGGAACTTATATCCTGCGATCTTGCTGAATTTGTTAGTTCTCATAGCTTGTTCGTAGGTTCCTTAAGATTTCCTTCTATATACACGTCAGAGATCGCTTTATGTTTTTCTTTCCTACCTGAATACTTTTCGTTTCTTTTTCTTGCTTAACTTTTGGGGCTAGACCCTCCAGCAGCATAAGGAATAGAAGTGATGTGAGCAGAAACCCTTGTCGTGTTCCTGATCTCTGGAGAGAGCTTCGTCTTTCCACACTAGATATGACGTTAGCTGTGGTTTCTCACAAACACCTGGAATCAGGATAAGGCAGGTCCCTTCTACTTCCAGTTCTCCAAGTGTTTTTATCATGCAAGTGTGTCACATTTTATCAAACGCCTTTTCCTGGGTCAATTGAGATATTCATGTGGGTTTTGTCTTTTATTCTAGTAACATGATGTATTGATTGATTTTTATATAGTGAACCAACCTTGCATTCCCAGAATAAATCCCGTCCAGTCACGGTGAACAATCCTTTTTACCTGTTGCTAGATTCCGCTTTCTAGTATTTTGGCATATTATAAACAACATTGGTCTGTAGTTGCATTATCTTTTTCTGGCTTTGGTATTAGGGTAATGATGACTTCACAAAATGAACTGGGAAGTATTCTAGATGGCGTTTGTTGACACCTTTTTACACTTTTTTAGGCTTTTAACCGTTTTTTCCTCCCTTAATCACTCAGAGGACGTTAGTTTCCTCAGCACTTTAAATCTTTATATTTATTGTTAATATGCAATGAAAGGGAAAAAAGTGAACCATCCAAAAAACATGTTTTTCTTTCTTTAACACAAATAGCTTAAAGCGATTAGAGACATACTTAGTTCATAGCGGGAAATATTTCCTTTGGATTTTATAATGCTTTTCATTTTTCACCTAAGCTAGAGCATAGCTTTACAAAATATTCGAGGATTACAGAATATAAAATCCCAAAGGCTGAAGGAATCTAAGAATTCATAGGCCTGACGTAATTAGTGAGAAAACAGGCTCAAAGGAATGATGTACTTGCCAACGGGACACAAGGAATCAAAACCAGAGCTTGCCTGTCCCACCCCTGCTACGCTGGCATCCCGCCCGACCCCACCCTGCTGGCAGTGAGGGACCCCACCATGAGTCTGCGATCTTTTCCCCGAAATTTAACAGTATCTTCTGAAATGGTTGTCCAGTGTCAGCCTCACCTTCCCACTTCATCTTAAGTACCATAATCTTCCTAAAACGAAAACTTAGGTGGCTTTCAGTAGTTCCCCACTGCCTACAGAATAAAGTCTAAAGTCCAAACTCCTTGATGCAGAAGTGAGGATCCATAATCCAGTCCCCGTCTGTCTTTTCCAATCTGCTCTCTCTCACTTAACTCCCTTTTCAACCTTATACCACGGCTTCTCTAGCTGAAGGAGGGGGCGGCATAGGAGCGCCTTGGAAATGTTCTCTCCAGTATATACTGGAAACAAAGTTAACTATGTGTCCACGCTGAGCTTTATGCTCCTTCGCTCCACCTCTTTTCTCCACGTGGCACACTTTCCTCCTGGCTCTACACGATCAGATCGCTTTCACCTTTCAGACCTGATCAAATCCCTTCTCCTTCCGAAAGCCTTCCCACACCACCAGCCTCCCAAGAAGTCACCTCTCCTACCGACGTGGAGAGGACTTTAGCTGTACGTTACACACAGTGCCCGTGCTTGAAATAAGCAGGATGGTAGCTCATAGGTCAAAGCTTCCAAAGGCTACAATGTTTAACTAATTATGAAGCGTTTTAAGGAAATTGTCCATAGTGACCACTGAAGCCATATGTAAATTTAACACCAAAATGTACTATAGTGAAATCCATTCAACACAAGGAAGAAAAGTTTAACTTTATCATTTAGGAGCCCACTTTGTCTAACAGTTTACACTGCCATCTAGAAAATCACGACTAAAATGAACACTGGCACCCTGGCCCGGAGAAGAGGGAACACAAAGAAATCCAGAAAAGGGGCCTCCAAGAAGTTAATTTCTCCACCCCATTTTTAATATGCTTCATTAAAATGTCACTTATGAAGGAGACGGCGAATGTATCAATTGTGGGCAAATGCTTGGGATGTCTTTTTTTTCTGAGAGTACATTTATTAAAGCTTCGGGTGAGGAAACAAGGAAGGGCTTAGGATGGAAGCAGGAGCAGGAGAGAGCCTAGAGGGCTGCTCTCAGCTCACTGCACAGTCAGAGAAAAGGGGACAGGTTCGGGGGGTTAGCCTGGACGAGCTGCCACTGCCCATTGCTCCCCTGGTTGCAAGTCTCCTGGGAACTGGGGAACTTAGGGAGAAGCGGCGTGCCTGACGGAGAGGGGGAAGAACGCCATGGGGGTGCCCCAGAGAGGGGGCGCTTTTGATGTCTTGATATAACAGCCTGGCAACTGGTCCAACAAAGGAGATACAGGTGGAAGGGCAAAGGCAGAGTCCGGCAAGACAAACAGCCTGCCTTCCTACTCTAGTCAGTCCTCCTGCTCTAAGTCTACTGTTCTAGTAAGTACTATTCTAACACGTTTCACTTACTTAATGTTGAACTAAATAAAGACTGGCATAGGCCAGGGGAAATGAATGTGCTGAGAAGCTAAATGACTTGACCAAGGTCAATGAAATGATGTTCACTAAAGCACTACATGAAAATTAAGTCAGGACTAGATCCCTAGTCTTTTGTTTCTCAGGAGTAAATTCCTGGGGAAAATGAAAAGGCCTCTGAGTTCTCACACCTTCATTTCCAAGAGCAGTAATGTTACCAAACATAATAAAGAGTGAGAAAAA